TGCCCGAGCGCGGCCCTGGGCAGCCGTGGCTGAGCTGCAGCTCCGAGGCGGGCAGGGACCCGCTCTGCCCGCGGGGGCTGCGCCTTGGCACGGGGCACAGCCAGTGCCCGGGTCCCGCTGCCTTTACCTCGGATGAAGGCCAGGTCAGTGAGCAGCTTCAGCTCCCTGCTGACATCCAGCTGGAAGTGGCTGAAGGAGGCGTTGGCTGCAGGACGGAAGCTCTGCAGCGAATCGGTGGCCCTGAGGATCCTGCAGCACGGGAGAGCAGGGATGTCAGGGTGCCACCTCGGGCACCAGAGCGCCCCAACAGCCCTGTGCCTGCAGCCCAGTACCTGTTGTGCAGCTGCTTGGCAGCCTGGACAAAGCAGGGGTGGTCAGTCTCCTTCAGCACCTCCTGGGCATAGCCCACCATGCCCGAGTTCTCCAGCATGGCCTGGTGCTCCCGGATCTGGCCGTGCAGGCTGGCCAGCCGCTCCTGCTGGCACTCCTCGATGGCCTGCAGCAGCGTGGCCCGCTTCTCCTCCAGCATGGCACAGAGCCCCTGGATCAGCTGTGACACCTCTTCCTTGGCCTGTGAGCCGTTCACCTGCCGGGTACAGACACAGCAGGGTCAGCGTGTGGCACGTCCTGGGACCAGAGGGGACTGGGCTGGCTGTGCCACCGCTGCCTAGGGACGGCACAGGGACAGACACTGCCCTTACCTCCGTGTGCTTCACTGTCTCCTCCAGCTCAGCAATCTGGGTCTGCACCGTGTCCTGGCTGCTCAGGATGTAGGCGAGGCTCTTTGTCAGCTTCTCCTGCAGGAAGGTGATGAGATGTGGTGCCGGCAGCCCCCGCCCCACACCCCCCATCTGCACTGGGGCTCTGTGGTGTCCCCAATTCTCCACAGAGCCCCGGTCTGGCCCCAGCAGCCCTTACCCTGAGGGCCTGGTAGGCGCTGAGCACCGGGGTGATCTTGTGGCTGGTGTGGGTGCGGCGCACGCGGCAGAGCTGGCACACCAGCCGCTGGCAGGTCTTGCAGTAGTGAGTCACCTCCTCCTTGTGCTCTGGGCACATCAGCCCCTGCACGGCACAGCGGGGCTCAGCGCGGCTCTGCACCCCCCGCCACCCCTGCAGAGTCCCACCCCTGCACCCCAGAGCTCACAACCATAGGATGGTTGGGCTTGGAAGGGGACTTTAAAGATCATCTTGTTCCAACCCGCCTGACATGACATCCTCAACTGGACCCCATGGCTCAGAGCCCCACCTTGGCCTTGAACACTTCCAGGGATGTGGCAATCACAAGTTCCACGGGCAACTTGTTCCAGTACCACACCACCCTAATTTTTTCCTAACATCTAACCTAAACTCTCTCTCTTTCAATTTGAACCCACTGCCCTTTGTCCTGTCATTCCAGGCTCTTGTAAATAGTCTTGCCCCATCCTTCCAAAAGTTCCCTTCAGACACTAGAAGGCCACAATTTGGTTACCCCAAAGCTTCTCTTCTCCAGGCTGAACAATCCCAATTCTCTCATCCCTCATTCCCCATCAGGGCAGGAGGACCCCCGGGGAGGCCGTACCTTGGGGCGGAAGGTGAGGGTGGGGGGCGTGGGCTCATGCTGGGCTTTCTGGGTGCCCCAGGGGTGGTAGAGCTTGAAGCACTCGTTGCAGAAGCTGGACTTGCACTCCGTGCAGCCCTTGGTGGCCTCCAGCTGCGGGGGCTTGCAGAACTGGCACATGATGGCCGCGCTGATGTTGATGGTCTGCCGGTACCGCTCCACCACTCGCTCCAGGGTCAGGTTGCGGAAGAGGCTGCCCAGGCCCCGCTCGCCCAGGTCCACGTCCCGCTGGCAGGCGGGGCACGGGAAGCTGACGGTCTGGGGATGCACAGCACCCCGCTTGCGCCCCGGGTAGGTGCCAAAGCCTGTGGGAGGGAGGCAGGGAGGAGGTCAGTAGGACACAAAGCCCCAGAGTCCCTCAGCCCTCCCGTGGGGGAGCCCAGGGTGCTGTCCCCATACCCATCTCCATCCCTTCCAGTTGTCCCTGTTCCCAACCCCTCCAGCCATTCCTGTCCCTGTCCTCTCCAGCCATCCTCATCCCCTCTGTTGTTCCTCTTCCCTCTGCCATCCCCTCCAGCCATCCCCCTCCCCGCCATCCATCCCTGTTCCCTCCAACCACCTCTGTCCTCATGCACTACAGCCACCCATCCTCTCCAGCCATCCCTGTCCCCT